ATCTTTAAAAAAAAATAAAAATAAAAAATAAAAAAACCTTTTCTTTCTGCATATATAGTTTTACAGAAATGGACTGAGTAGAAAAATGCCAGATTTAATTCTTCAGATACTGTGGTAGAGTGCTTAATGTGTGTGGAGATTTTGATTACCAATAAATTATTAAGAAAGGCTTCAAGAAATGATTGGTCATATCCAAAGTTAAAAGAACCTTGTTGTCTTTATATTTACAGAAATTGGTGGCAGGCCTTCCTTTAATAGTTCCATCTGAAAACTTGTTCCCATGTAACATAGATTTTTCAGAGGAATTTACTTGTTGGAGGTATAACTATTTTATTTTTTTAAGATTTTATTTATTTGAGAGAGAGAGAGAGCATGAGAGAGAGAGCACGAGCAGGGTGGGAGAGGCAGAGGGAGAGAGAGAAGCAGGCTCCCTGCTTATGCAGGACTTGATCCCAGGACCCTGGGATCATGACCTGAGCCAAAGGCAGATGCTTAACCAACTGAGCCACCCAGGTGCCCCTTTTTTGTTGTCTTTAAAAATTATTTCATCAGCTTGAACAACAAAGCCTTATTTTCTTTTTTCTTACATCTTGTTTCTTTGAAAATGAGCACTTCATAGTCCATAAGCTTAACTACTGTTTTTCTGGAATAACATTCTTTCTTCTTTTTTCTCTTTCAGTGAGACACATGTTTATTCAAACACAAGATACCCCCAATCCCAACAGTTTAAAGTTTATTCCAGGAAAACCAGTTCTTGAGACAAGGACCATGGATTTTCCCACACCAGCTGCAGCATTTCGCTCCCCTCTGGCTAGGTATATTACTATTTCTCATTTGCTTTTACCAAGAAACATAAATAACTAACTTTGGGGGTAAGGCAGCCTCGTTTAATGATTGCATTTTTATGTGCATTGCACTGTTTTCAATGTAAAGAATGCTTTCTTTTCAGGTAAGAGATAAAAGAAAAATAACAGTTGATATCAGGAAACCCTTGTCCTGAAAAGTAATGTATTTGAGAGATCTATGGCAGGACTAAAGAAGACTTTATATTTTTACTTTAAAAAAAATCCATCAAAATGAAAATAGGATAAATTTCCATTCTAAATCTTTAAAACTATTTATAAAAAACAGTGAAAACTTGTTCATTTTTTTCTTAAGGATCATTGAATTTTTTTCGATGTGCCAAAATGGAGCAGTTTCTAAAATATTCCACTCAGAACCATAAATAATAATAGTTATTAGATTTGGCATGATTTTTTAAAAACAAGTCAGAGACAATTTTTAAATTCACTAAAGACATGTTAGATATATGTCATGATATAGGACAAACAAAATTATTGGAATGAATTTCTTTTTTTTTTTTTAAAGATTTTATTTATTTGACAGAGAGAGACACAGTGAGAGAGGGAACACAAGCAGGGGGAGCGGGAGAGGGAGAAACAGGCTTCCTGCTAAGCAGGGAGCCCGATGCAGGGCTTGATCCCAGGACCCTGGGATCATGACCGGAGCCGAAGGCAGATGCCCAATGACTGAGCCATCCAGGCGCCCCTGGAATGAATTTCTTTGTAATGATAGCTAGAGAAATTATTTATAATAAGAAGTATTAGAGTCAGTCTACATCAGTTTAAATTTTTGGTAACCTAAGCTTGACGCTGATTGCCAGGGGTATTTAGAAAGTAAAGCTTAGATAACTACTTCTATACACACAGCTGTTTTATATGTCACACTTAGAAGAGCGAGAAATAATACACTTATTGCAGGAATGTTTTTTTAATTTTTTAATTTAATTTTTTTTTTTTTTTAGTAGGCTCCATGTCTAACATGGAGCCCAGTGTGGGGCTTGAACTCAGGACCCGGAGATTGAGACCTAAGCTGAGATCAAGAGTTGGCCGCTTAACTGACCGAGCCACCCAAACGCCCCTTTTTAAATTTCTCATTAATAAAAATGCACATTTCCTTTGACCTACACATGCCACTTCTCACAGTATGCCCTAGAGCATTTGTTTTTCACACTTTTTTTTTTACAGGCTGCAGTAAGAAACCTTTTATATTACAACCCAGTTCATACACATACATAGGTAGATAGATACATGCACACGTATTTGATGGGACAGTTTTGACCCTGTGTAAAACATTCTTATTTCCTTTCTAATTCTCTTTATTCTATTCTGTTTTATTATATTAGATAAAAATCCAGGTCAATACCTAATTGATTTTACAAGCTACTAGTGGAGTTGAAAAACACTGCCTTACAGAACATCCACATACATATACAAGGTGATACAAGCCTTGTTGGTAGTGGTAACAAGTTGGAAACAACCTAAATACTCATCAGTAGGAAGAATTCAATAAACTTTGTTTGTCCATAGTCTTAGATATTAAAAAAGGATGAGGATAACCCTCATTTACTGTCATAGACTGACCTCTACGACACACTTTTGGGGCGCCTGGGTGGCTCAGTCGGTTAAGCATCCGACTCTTGATTTCCGCTCAGGTCATGATCTCAGGGTTGTGAGATTGAGCCCTGCATCAGGCTCTGCAGTGGGTGTGGAACCTGCTTAAGATGCTCTCTCTCAGGCGCCTGGGTGGCTCAGTCGTTAAGTGTCTGCCTTTGGCTCAGGTCATGGTCCCGGGGTCCTGGGATCGAGCCCCTCGTCGGGCTCCCTGCTCGGCAGGAGGCCTGCTTCTCTCCCACTCCCCCTTCTTGTGCTCCTGTTCTCGCTGTCTCTCTCTCTGTCAAATAAATAAATAAAATCTTAAAAAAAAAAAAAGATTCTCCCTCTCTCTCCCTCTGTCCCTCCACCCCCTTCTTTTTCTCTCCCCCTTTTAGAAAAAAATAAAAAACTATTAATTGAAGAAAGTATGTTGTAGAACACTGAGTACAATATGATTATCTATATAAAAACAAAAAACATAAAAAAACACTAACATAAAGGTCTGGAAGAATGTACACCCAACCGATAACAGTGGATTTGGGGGAGGGGTGGTCAAGAGGCATTTTCACTTTATATGAATAGTTTGAAATGTTTACATCAAGAATGAATTTATGTATTTTGTATTTAAAAGAATATAAAAATAAAAAAGACTGTTCAGTTACAGATGACTTGGAGACTATTTCTGTCAGATGTTTAGTTGGCAAAAGCCCTTTTCAAATTAGTCTTTTGAAAGTAGCTTATTTCCTGGACTCACAGAATTTATTATCTTCAGTCAAGCAAAACTAATCTTGTTTTTGTTGTTTTAACAGAGAATGTTTTTACTGTAAGCTAGAATGTAAAGCTTCCTGAAAACAGGAACCTGTCTGTCTTGCTCATCATTGTATCTCTAGTGCTTAGTACAGTGTCAATATTCAGTGAGTTTTCAAAAATTTGTTGAATGAATGAGTAATTGAATGAATGAACAGTAGTGTATCTTACTTCAGAGAGGTATTTGACCTATTTCTTACCATCCTTCTGGACAAGACAGAAAAATTTAAGCAGAGTGTAAATCTGTCTCTAGTGACATACACAAGGGCTCTGTAGTATCTGTAATATCTCTGTAGTTGGCATATTTATTCAATACTTTATCTGCGACACATTAATGATGATAAGATTATCAGTTTCCAGATGGGAGGAATTGCTTCTATGTTAGATGGCAAAATTCAGAGAAATGTTTAAAGGTTTCATTAGGCCGACATGATAGTTTAAAGCAAGTAAGGTAAAATCTAACAGGAATAAATATTAAGGCTTATTATTTAAATGTTTAAAATGAATAGCTCAGTTGTGGGATGGAAGAATCTGACTTCTTAGTTCATTATGTTGGATATGTTGCAGTACTCAAAATCAGTCAAACTTCAACAGAGTCACAGTATCTAGCTCAATAGAGGTAACAGTCTTTGTATTCTGAATAAGTCAGACTATGTTTGGGATATGTGTTCAATGCTGGATATCATATTTTATTTTGGACATTGTAGAAGTTGAAATTGTCCCGAGGAAAGTAACCTAAATGGCAAAGCATGTATAATAATGTTTGAAACTCCTTTTCAGCGTTTTCCTTCTTAAAGCACAGAACCTGTGAACTCTTGCCTAAAGCAGTCCCCATGACATGACCCAAAGATCAGGTTGATTCTTCGCACGGTCCTTTCATTTGAAGAAAAAAGCTTTGCTAACAGTACAGATGCACAGAGCCAATCAAGGGACCTACTTATAGGTCTGTGCTTGGGTTTATTGGATCATATTATGCAACCAAGTACCTTGTAACTTCTTGTAAATTTAATATTGAATTAGAGGACACAGATGACATCGTTTCAGACAAATTCCTAAATAATTTCAAAATAGTAATTCCGGTAACACTCATGCAATGATAGACAAAGAAGAGGTAAACCTTTTTTGGAGTATGTCAGCTTTTATTCCTAAAAGGGGTGAGGGAAAAAGGAAATTGCTCTGGTATGTTACATATATCAGTGATTGGGAAAGGAAGATGCATTTCAAAATCCCTTGTAGGGGCTTTTCAAATTATAATCCTCCCCTCCTCCTCTTAGAGGATTTTAAAAATTAGTTGAGGTATAATGTACATGAAATGAAATTCACCAATTTTAAGTGTATAGTGCAGAGTTTTGATAAATATATACAGAGTTTTGATAAATATAGACAGATAAATATATACATGATAAATATGATAAATACACACATCTACAAATATATACTGTATATATTTTGATAAATATACAGTAACCACCACTAAAATAAAAATACAGAACATTTTTATTACTGCAGAAGTCCCTCATTTCTCTTTGCATTCAATCTTCTTGCTTCACTTCCATACCCTGGTAACTGTTTTGTTTCATGGCAATGAATTCCAACTTTGTTGAGATATAACTGATGTAAAACATTATATAAGTTTAAGGTATACAGTGTGCTGATTTGATATACATATGCTTTACAAAATGCTTACCACAGTAAAGTTAGTTAACACATCTATCACCCTGGTAACTATTGAGCTTTCTGCCACCACAGTTTTACATTTTTAGGGTTTCATATAAATGCCCCCATATAGTCTTTTGTGCTTGGCTTCTTTCATTTAGCATAATGCTTTTGAGAGTCCTCCTTGTTTTTGCATGTACCGTTAGTTTATTCTTTTTTTATTGTTGAGTAGCCCTGCATTGTATGGGTACACACGGTCTGTTCAGTTATTCACTAGTTGATGGGCATTTCCAGATATTCTTTTTGGCTTTTATAAATAAAGCTGCTGTAAAGATTCATGGATGCATCTTTGTGGAGCATGTTTTCAATTCTCTTAGGTAAATACCTAAGAGTGGGATTGCTAGATCGTAGGGTAAGAGGATGAAACAAGATTGGCCATGAGTTGATAATTGTTGGCCATGAATTGTTGATGCTGGTGATGGGTGTGTAAAGGTTCTTTTACTTTTCTGTCCACCTTTGTATATGTTTAAACTTTTCTGTAATAATGCATTTTATTATCTCTTATTTCTTATTTATTCACAGACAGTTATTTAGAATTGAAGGAGTAAAAAGTGTCTTTTTTGGACCAGATTTCATCACTGTTACAAAGGTAAACATAGGATTATGTAAAATAATGTATGAAGTTCTTTTAGTTTTTTTCCGAGTCCAACATCCCTTTCTAGAATTTCCTTTTTTGATATATTTTATACATATTGTTATTAAAAATCTCTACGTTTACTTTTCACATTTCTCAAGTTAGTTATTAAATAGAATTTTCAAGTTGAAATTAACTATAGTTCAAATCCCTCATTTTTCAGAAGAGAAAAACTTGAGCTTCAGAGGCTTAAGTGCAGGATTGTGTCCAGGGTTATGTATCTGCCCTACAGCAGGGCCATGACTCAACCTGGGCAGAACTAGAATTTAGGCTCCAAGTGTTATTTTTACTAATTCTTTTTTTTTCTTTCATAATTGAGACTTTATTGGTGGTTTTGATATTTTTACTAGTTCTTAATTTAAAATGATAGAGTAAAAAGCAAAGCAAACAAATAATCAAACTATATGCTTATGTATTTGACCAACAGATGAATATAAATCTCCTTTAAAGGGGGCTCTTTCATCATGGCCCATCTGCTGAAATACTTCAGAACTTCACAGATAAGAGCAGGGGACTGTGTCGTTCTGCAGCACTTGGTTAACCTCTAAATGTCAGAAAGTTGATCTAACTATGTTACCCATTCCAACACCTCATATCTGCTAGGAAAGGCGGTTTCATTTTTAAGTCTACTAGATTAATTAGAAATGAACTGTTTAGGGCGCCTGGGTGGCTCAGTTGGTTGGGCGACTGCCTTCGGCTCAGGTCATGATCCTGGAGTCCCGGGATCGAGTCCCGCATCGGGCTCCCCCTGCTCGGCGGGGAGTCTGCTTCTCCCTCTGACCCTCCTCCCTCTCATGCTCTCTGTCTCTCATTCTCTCTGTCTCAAATAAATAAATAAAATCTTAAAAAAAGAAAAAGAAATGAACTGTTTAAATTTGAACTATGTATACTTTTAGGTCTGTTAATTGATACGTATACACTGAACTTGATCACTTGTTCAATATTATGTCAAAATCCAAAGTTTTCGGGGCACCTGGGTGGCTCAGTTGGTTAAGCGGCTGCCTTCGGCTCAGGTCCTGATCCCAGGGTCCTGGGATCGAGCTCTGTGTCAGGCTCTGTGCTCAGCAGGGAGCCTGCTTCTCCCTCCCCCTCTACCCCTCCTCCAGCTTGTGCTCTCTCGCTCGCTCACTCTTTCTTTCTCAAATGTATGAATAAAGTCTTAAAAAAAAAAAAATCCAAAGTTTTCATGTAATTCTCTTAAGCAATTTGAAAGGATTACTCTGAGTTCTTGATGCACTGATAGGACTGATAAAAGTGGACTGGGTTAGTGACCTGTTAGAAAAGTCCAGTATGCTCTTGTAGCTATCTGTGTGTGGAGGAGAATTAGTTTTCCTCTGTGGTGGCATTCCTGGTGGCCATAATTGTTCTTGCAGATATACCAATTGTAAAAGTTTTTTTCCTGTTGTTTAAAGTGTTATTGGCTCTAAATTCTCACAAAGCCCTTTCTTGCCCATATCGGTTGAAGTGGCTGTCCCTTCAGGAGCTCATTACCCTGTTTATTGTCTTCATTGCACTTATCACTTAGTCACTTTTTTTTTTTTTTTGGTTTATTTTTATTATGTGTCTTTCCTACATTGGAATGTACACTCCATAAAGCTAGAGATTGCCCGACTTATTAAGTTCACCTAGAACGATGCCTAGCACATAGTGTGCACTTCAATAAATTTTTATAGAAGGAAACAATTTCATAGACTGAATTTTCAGGCTTTAAGGGGTTTCTGCCAAAAGGATTGTGGTGAGTAAACCCATGCTGACAGATCTCTCATGTTTACCAGTTTAGAGACATCTGATATATCTTTGGTTTTCTTCAGTTTGCTTTCTTTGATATTTTTTGAGGGTGGGGGGAGGATCTGCTCTTGTTTAATATTTCCAGCGTGTTTGGTATGGCATTTACATAGCAGAAGTGCTTTACATATATTACCTAATTTAATTATTTAAACTAGGTATTCGTGTCTTCATTTTACAAATGGCAAATTATGTATTTATTTTAACAAGTTCTTTTTTTAGTCCTTTTATATACAGCCTGTGGCATATAAAAATTTTTTTTAGATGAAAATGTGATTATATCTTACAGAGTTGTTTTTTTCTTTGATTTTGGTAAGTCATCTTTCATTTCCTTTCTCATTCATAATTTAATTACTCTTTTTGGAATTTCTCCAGCCCCACTATTTTTTCTTAAGTGAAGTGACATAACTAATAAGTAATAATTTAAATTAGGGCATGTATTGAAATTTAATAGGCAGAATAGTAGATTTGTTTTCTTTCAGTTACCTTTTTTTTTTTTAAAGACTTTATTTATTTGACAGAGAGACACAGCGAGAGAGGGAACACAAGCAGGGGGAGCGGGAGAGGGAGAA